TGAGCTTCTTCAAGAACCCATGGATGAACAATATAGAACGTCAGTGCCAAAACTTAACAAGTCTTACCAAAAAAGGAATCGGATGTTTAGGGTCAATGGTAGGGCTGCACGGTATTACCGGTATACATTAAAATTGAATAAACTAATGAATAAAATCAACAGTTTCATAAAAGTTGTCAAACGTACATCTAAAGCCGTGTTTACATGCACCCCTTTCCCCGGGGGTAAAATACCACCTGGGTTAAAATACCCCTGAGAGGCAAATTTTGTCGTATAAACGGGTCTAACAGGGGGGTAAATTATACCCACAGGGGAGTATTCTGCCCCTGGTCAAGAGGTGGAGCAAATTCAGTTACCCCCGGGGGTATTCTACCCCTTGGGGGTAAAAGTGTCATGTAAACGGTGTATCAAGCTAAATACAACCAGGGGTACATTTGTAGAACCATCCATCCCTGCTTATAATGGAATGGTTTTCCAGGAAATCTAGACATGCATTTTGTTGGTATGTATGTTGTTGGTTTGCACTCCCCACCCTGTCATTAATCTGTAGCTCTACACTGGAAACAACATGCCTCTGATAAACAAGCGTTTACGACGTGGTTAAGCCTGGACAGATGATGAGACAAAGGGTCTGCTTAGTATCTGCGGAGACATGCCCATCCAGTCCCTTCTGGACAGCCCCTCAAAAGCTGATACAGCTGTTTATTCAAAGGTGAACAAAGTAATGCATGAACCACGCTTTGAGAAAACGGCCATACAATGCACAGAACGAACGAAAACACTTAAAAATCATATAGACAGTGTAGGGATTCACTGAAGAGGAGTGGACAGACCAGAAAACTCTGCACATTTTATGAACAGCTAAATGAAATTTTGCCACATCACCTGGAAAAGGCATTCAAAGTCTCCAGCAGTCAGTTGCATCAGATACAGACATATCTGATCTTGAAGTTACTGATGATCATGTTACCGACAACATTGCTGATGATGTCGAACTTGCTGAGCCAGGAGATTATGAATGTGTTAAAAATGGCCAACAAAATGGTCATATGAAAAGAAACAAAAAGGAAAACAAAGAAAACCCAAACTGCAAACAACTTTGAAAACTGTCATGGACTAGTTTGCTATACCTAATGAAGATATTGAAGCAAGGCAGATTGAGTTGGAAAAGAACCAAATTGAGCTGGAAATGAGAAAAATGACGAGAGAAAGAAAATAGAGAGCTTGCACTTAGGAAACTGGATAAAGGAGAAAGACAGAAAGCTTCTGACAGAGAACACCACTTGCGTATGCTACAGTTCATCATGAACACTCCTCAACCATATGCCAATCCATCATCCATCCAATGTCCAACATTCTTGTCCAGTGGTATCAACTTGACCTTGTGGTCCTTGGTCGCCATCATGTACCTCATCAACCTCATCCAGCCAGTCAGGGTTGAACATGTGGTCTGATTCACACATGTTATGCGCCTACATCTTCCTTTGAAGCGTCCAAATGTATTTCAATGACCATCCGGGCACTGCGGACGCGGAAGTTGAAGTATGACTTCTCATCTGATTGGGTTCCTCCATTTCCGTAAAGTGTTAAGAGCTAGTGAGACATGTGACAGGCTGGATCTACAATGATGACGACAGGCATGTCACAATCATTGTTAGCACTACCCACTCTTTCCTTCCAGTCTGTGGTAAGCTTTGAAGCTTTCCTCGCCTATAGGAAACTTCACAACATCTGGAAACACGTGTGTACAATTGGCATAACACACTTCATGTACTACACAAGAAACTGTTGACCTGTGAATCCCAAACAGATTACCAACAATGCAATATTCTACTGTTGTGGCCAAGTAGTATATTGCCACTGCTACTCGAATCTTTTTGAATGTGAAGATGGAACTTTTCACAGATGCGCTGGCACACGTCCCTTGACGTTCTGACGCTTTCTTTACACTGAGTTTCATCAAAACGTGGTACAGTTACTTCCCACCAATATCTACTCCTTTCCTTTTCCAAAACATGGCGTTCTCTAGTGATGAACCCACGCACAAAGTTTGGACGGATCTCTTCCGTTTTCTAGATTTGTACAAACGTCTATATTCATCCAAGTGACAAGAAATATCAATACCTCCCACCATGTAAATGCAAGCACAATTTTGCCATTTGCCCCTGTGGGTAAATTTACCCCCATGGGGGTAAATGTGGTGCATGTAAACAAGGCTTAAGTTACTATTTCCATCTTTTCGTACGATCATGTTATGTAAGTCAAGTGACATCTCGGCCTTCGTCACCTCGATCTTCATGCTCGGACACGATGTTTTAATAAGAAAACATTTGCATTTGCCACCTAGCACGATACGTCCAATATGTTCCATAGTTTACGTATATATGGCGATTTGTTGCAGAATAGCTTGTCTAACAGGTTTCGTTTACGAGGACGGTATTCATTACTGTAATATGATTGGCTTACGAGCATGATTTTACCAATCACGAACCTTATAGCAGACTGTGGCGAAAAAGCGTCATTAGAAACCAATCTTTATCCAATAAAATCGCTTCTTACAACTGCGAAAATACTCCTATCAAGGTTAATATGCTATTATTGATAATTTAAGCTTTGGAACAATACCCGCCATCAAATGAATCTTCTAGAGTGTTGTTCATACGGAGCTTCAAAAACGGAGGCATTTCCCAATGTTGTGTCATGAAAAGCCACGGTTATCGAAAAATAGGCGACCATACATATTATTTAATTAATCTTTATATAATAATTTTCTGATTACGTAAAAATGAAAATATAAAAGAAATAGGCAACAGGATATTATGTCATCTTACAAATGGATTAAAATAGCGGGAGTTTACGTCTCCTTCGTGGTTTATATGGACATTTTACGTGTGTAAATTTGTATTACTATTAGAAATAAATTTAATTAGTTGAAGTTGAATTATTTAAATAATATGATAAACACACCTTTGATATTTATCAACAGTTGGATTCGACCTAAAAAAATTAAATGGTGTATGACATAGCAATAATGTTTGACGAGCTGATATTTTCCTTGATAAACGTAGGTTTCTATCTTATTATAAGGTTATGTTTCTCATGTTTCATTTTTTCTATTGAGTCTAAAGAAAGTGTACTTTACCTGATACAGAGTGACTTTTGCCCATCGCGAGTGTTTTGTTAAATCATTTCTTTATGTGAATGTGTACCAAACGTCATTCATGAAATAAGTAATGTTAATAATACTTTTATTCCAAGACAAAGGTGCATAAATCATCGTTTAGATTAGAATGTGCACTTCAAGATCATGTCACATGATTGTGACTTCAAATATGTTTTCTCGAGTAAAGCAGATGTGTACAGTAAATTCTTTAACTCTTTAAATTATTTGAAATACAACATCCTTTGCTATTCAAAGAAGTTAAAGTATTTAAATAGTATAGGTGGGTGGATGGAGGATATGGTGTAAGCTTGTTTCAGTTGAATTTGTCATATTCATGTATATGAAATGAGAAATCATACATTTATCTGCGTTAACTTTCCTTTGCACAGCAGTTACAATTAAAAGAAAGACTTGTTGAAAGTTTCTTTTATAGTAAAGCGTAGGGCTAGTACTTTTTGGAAAGGACTAGTGACATACAAAATCCACTAGCCCGGAGGGCCAGTAAAAATATTTTAGTGAGTGTCGATTGCTGCTGTTTTAAAATATAAATATAAACAGAAGAATGTTCTGAATTTTCCTTTTTTCACTTCAAAAGAAGCTGTACAATGCACACTGGTTACCCACATATACTGTGATTCAATTTGAAGGTAAAAGAATATTACCAAGTGGGCAGATCTCAATAACTGTTCTTTCACAATATATTGCAATACGTATCGCAATACAGAAGAGTATATCGCAATATATCGCAATAAGAAATTTGGGGCAATACATAGTCCTAGTCAATGGTTCAGATGATTGGATGGCTGCGTATCCCAGCTACCGAGAACTGTGATCTAGAAATTATGAAACAAACCATAGGTAAAGTGGCATCATCAAGTTACAGCATAGTATAACCAGATTCAGGCGTATTTGAGTCTTGCACCAATAGGAAATAGCCCCTGATGTATAGAGTTCGTACCCTGCACATTCATTTCTTTGATATGGAATTCTCTACCACTAAACTCGCTCTCGTTGAAATGCTGGACAGATTCTTAAAGGAACAATAACCAAAAATATCAGCTCTATGCATCATTATTTGGCCCACTTTCCTGTCAAAGTATAAAATAAACATCACAATTATATGGTTTCAAGTTGCTCAGATACTTTCAACAGAGAAGAGAGAGAGAGTGTGAGTGTGTGATTGAAACAGAGGATCATGTATTAGCCAGGCAGAACTGGCAGTGTTATTTCCGTTTGTCAGGCTGTTCCACAACGTTAAATTCAAAGCTTTGCATACGGCTATCACATCAGGTGATTCAGGGAACGTTAACACCCCTTGTGTTCACATGTACTATTACTTACAGAACATTTTACCTGTTACATGTTGTAATTCACGCATGTGGACAATTATTACCCGATAGTACTATAAAACTGAATGTATTGCATTGAAAACGTCTATAGATCATACAGTTTCATTGTCTATTCAGTACATATTAAAGAGAGAGAGTGTGTGTGTGTGAAACAGAGGATGTATTAAACTTGGACATCCAACTCCTTGTCAGCCAGGCAGGAGTGGCAGTGTTATTTCCGTTTGTCAAATTGAGAACGTGTTATTCTTATAACTGCAAGTCAAGGGGTATTGCATATATATATATTCGCGTATTGGGCATTTATAACATCAGCATGTATAAAAGCATTGCATATATATATATATATATATATATATATATATTTAACAAGGATATCCATGCACACTGTTAACTTACATGTAATAAAGGCAGGATTTCATTTATGCATTTGAGGGAAATGAAATGTGATACACGTGACTGAAAATATAGGTGAGTGGAAAGCTCACACTTGAAAGCAATACTATGGCCATGCAGACCGAGTGCCCAAGGTAGGTATAAAATAGAACATATCACTGATTGTGACCCTTACATAGTTTGCATTCAACATCAAACATGAAAGTGCCTGTTTTTAAGCGTCTCTTGTATTGATCGCTTGTGCTGCCATGTCGGTTGAATATTAGTCTGACGTGGTGCATATGCCAGGCCGAGGTGTTGGATTTACCTGCAGTAGCCATTTTGCATCTCCTTCTGTTCTGACAATTACCTGCCAAATGTGTGATCTTGTTATGTGGATGACGTGGGCAGTAATTAGGGTTAATATTTAGTCGTCTGTGAATGGCATTTAGTAGTGACAGACATAAATGGTGAAAATATATGGATGATCAACTCCTGGTGAGCACAACGTTTCGGAGTGTATTCTTGAATAGTCTGATGAAGGAGTAAGACTGTACCGAGTTGTCGTATTCCTCCTGCTAAGGTCGTCCCTGGTATGGTGATCTACCTTCTCTACCTTGTGAGATCCTAGTTGTTTTATTGTCCTTCGTCGACAGGTTTTTATAACGTATATATATTCCATTTCAATGTCAAATGTTCTCATGTCACTTTTTATTGTATAAATAGTTTTCGTCATGATATGGCTGAAATAGTGACGATGTGACGTAAAATAATAACTCACTCACTCACTCCTGCTAAGGTCAGATTTTACCGTGCGATGAGGATGCTAGGAAATGTCGTACGCTTGACGTATGAAACGATTAATGGCAGCTTGGGTAACGTCGATGACTTAGTTGATTGAATCAAAGCATTAACTGAGTTTACAGTTATCCGTTTCTCCGAAGGAAATATATAAACTGACGTTTCTTTTGCTTTAAGTATATATATACATATATAAAGACTCAAAATAAAATAAATTCCGAAGACCTCCATGGTAGCATTCTCATAGTAGCATTCGAAGTGCCATCCCCAAAGCTATGATTTGAAATAACCTGCAAATTACATCCTGATGTGGAATTTATAAGTAAGTTCAAAGTGACAACTTGTATGTGTGTGCGAAACAGAAGATATATGGTAAGAATTGTGCTTCCAACTCCTAGTCAGCAAGGTAGAGCTAACGGTGTTATTTCCCTTTCTCAAACTGATAACGTGTTAATCCAATAACCGCAAATCACAGGGTAATGCAGAGCAGAATGTGATCGAAAACGCACGGAAATCTTTCTAGGACAGGTCAAGTCATGCATTTTTACACTCTCTGCATTCACGTATTGGAAAGTAATAACGTCAGCTTGAGAAAAAACATATATTCATATGTCATTTATATTCATATTGGTTATCTCTGTGCACTGATAGCTTACAGAGTCAAATATGCTTAATACGATACGTTTTCAATAAATAATTTGAGGGGAATGACGAACGATACAAACTACAGATGCGTGACTGAAAATATAGGTTCATGAAAAGCACACATTTGAAGGCGATACTATGGCCAAGCAGACCAGCAGAGTGTATAAGGTAGGCTTAAAACAGAAGTTGCATAGCTGCATGTAACATGTGTAAGTGTCTGTTTCCAAGCAGTCTCTTGTATCGATCGCTTGTGTCGCCACGTCAGGAGAATATTAAGTAACAATGAATCACATTTAGGAGTCACACACATATAGGGTGAAAATTTTGGATGGTCAACACAACGAGTATAATCTTGAATTATTTTAATGAAGGAGTAAAATTATATTCAGAAACGCGGTCCTCATATTACACGCTCTGCCCACATTTTACCGTGGGGTGAGGATGGTAGGTAATGACTGAACCCCAAATCGTACGCGTGACATACGAAGTGATTAATGACGTATTGGGGTAGGTCGGTGACTTGGTTTATTGAACACAAACAAATAAACAAGACTTTGCTTCGTTCACAGACCTGACTCAGGGACAGAATGTGCGACAGCCTCCGAGGTTGAGATGGTGGATCTCATCAACTCCAAGGGACATGGCTTCAGGTGTTATCAGTACGAGGGTATATATTGGAGTTTGTGGCCTCGTCAGATATCCAAAGGGAAGGACCCAATTGAGGAATTCAAGCGTCTCAAAGATTGCACTATGGAAGAAGATGACATCATAATATGCGCTTATCCCAAGTGTGGTATAATGCTATCTAGTTTCCTCAATCTATCACAGCGCTATACAAATGTAAAAGTTCTTCAGTTATTTATAAGACTTGTATGATGTAGCTACCTACATAGTAACGTATAACGTATATGCCCATATGCTCATCAGCTTTAAGAGTCACCACAAGTGTAAGTATGACATAACCCAATGTAAACGTCTGACTGTTTTTTGTCCGTGTTGATCACTACTTCCAACACTAACAGTGTTTTCTTGTTGTAAGAAACGAATTGTCAGCAACACAATAGTTATCAGGACATTTGGGCATGTCGGGCGAACAACTGTTATATTCCACAAAATGTGTAGCAAAACAAAGACAGTTTTCCAGTATTGTCTCTCCCTATCACAAAGTCACACCATTGGTCAGTCCCCACGCATAAGCATGTGTGACTGTTATGCTTCGTTATATAACGAGAACAAGAGCAACCCTTAAAAAGTATTGTCTTTCATGTAGTTCCTATTATGAAGAACATGACATCATAATAGGTGTATTCATTGCATTAACTTTAAATATAAAGAAATCCAGCAACTCTTATCCTGAGGATAATCAGCCTTCCACATCAACTAATTCCATTCCAGTGGTTTTATTAAATGTATCTTTTGATAGGAACCCACTGGTTGTGGGAGATTATCGAGATGCTCAAAAGTGGAATCATTCGGAATACGAAGGAGGTGAAGGAGACCAAAATGATAGAGTTCATACAAAAAGACGGAATCGAAACTATGCAAAAGCCGAAGATACTGAATACACACCTTCCTCTTCGCATGCTCCCAACACAGATTGTAGAGAAGAAGATCAAATGTATCCAGATCATGCGCAATCCCAAGGATGTTTGTGTATCCTTTTTCAACCACAAAAAGGACATATTATCTTCCATTGGATATGATGGGGACTTCGTGGAGTTCACAGAGGCGTTTTTATCTGGGAAATGTAAGTTTTGTTTTTTATGGATACAAATTATTTGGTAAACAATATTTCACCGCATTACTTCCGCATTTCCCGGTCTACTTTCAGTGCCGTTTGGATCCTACCACAACTACCTGCTGACATGGCAGAAAGAGGCAGCCAGAGAACCAAACCTACCTGTGCTCACCCTGCACTATGAGGCCATGAAGCTGGTGAGTATGGTAAAACCTTCTCCTGCATCATGTAGTACTTCACACTAGACGGAAACCCTTTAATGTTTGGACAAAACATGGAATGAACTCGCACAAATTTAACTTTTCATCTTGCTTATTGTTGATGATATATCTTGTTGATATCTGTTTTTACATGTATCTTGTATGTATGATGTGTAATGAGAAGGAATGTGTTGGGACATACGACTGCCTGGATACTGGACACTTTGATCGACTGGGGACGTTTTGTCCCATGTGACTCTTTATAATCTTCTGTGCCAAATACTCTTTGAATGTACATACCACATACTGTTATAACAGAATAACAGAAGTTTATTGTATTTCGGGGCCAGGATACCTAGAGTACAGTGTAAGATTTAATTCATGATAAAAAAAAAAATTTAAATAAAAATATAATACATAATATACAATGCCATTCAGAATCTCGTCAAATGCAACGCGTTCTGTTTGGGACCACGCCCTCCCAGCAAAGCAGCTACTCCCGCACCCCTGCCGGGCCGAGTCCTACCCAGGACCCGGACAGACATCCCCACAGCCCGGCACCTACTCGCCAGCACACGAGTCAGCCGCCTATGCTGGGGCCGACCCCGTGCGCCGGCGAACAGGCGCCCGACTCCGGGGATGCGGGCCCGAATCCCGGACGGGACCTAACCCAACATAAGCACGAGAATCCCATCCCCACCAAGAGAGCACAATCACAAACACAACATGTTACTCTATATTCTTGCTTTGAATACTTTATACAAGTAAGTGGCTAAGCGGAGCAATAGATTACTATCTGTTGTTGATAACAAGGTAATGAATGTGCAGTAGATGGATGACTACAATAATACCTAGGTAGAAAATGATCCCTAATGTGTGCGTAATTTGGACATTACGCCTTCATTCCAAGCATCAGGGAACTAACCTGATATGAGAACATTATTATTAAACAACGCCACCAAATATGGAGATAGAATGTCAACAATAGCTTTTATCGCCTCGGCTGGGATGCCATCCAGTCCAGGAGATTTACCGTTTTTTAAATTTTTAATAGATCTTTATATTTCCTTTTCAGTTATAGAGTCGCCAATAACATCGTCACTTTCTGCACAATCCTCACATACCAATGCATTATTGTCTTCTAAATATTCTTGTACATGTTTGTCAAAAGAGTTCCCTAAGTCAACGTCAGGATTAAACAGAGTTTTGAAGAAACTGTACCAATTATCTGCAGATATGACACGGTCGGTCGATTTTTTCCCACTCCATAAAGATTTCAACAGTCTCCAAAAAATTTACAGTCGTTGTTTTTAGCAGCCTCCGTTACGTCATTTACCACTTTGCGATCATATTCTTTCTTCTTCTTTTTACAAATTGCCTGAAAATAATGTTTACTTCCAATGTACTTCTTTCAATCGACAACACAATCAGATTTTCTAAAAATATTTTAGAGTTTATATTTGTCCTGCTTCAGATGGCGGCATTCCTAGTCGAACCACTTTGGCTGAACTGAGTGACTGTACTTATGTTTATTAAAGTCAATCTTACGTTTAAAGTCTAGGTCACTGAAACAAGAAACAAATATTTTTTGCAAATGCGATACACACTTATTAACATCATCTAAATTTCCTTCGAAAAAGTCCTGGCATGATTTAAGGATGTGCCCTAAGGACAGTGTAAAGGCACGCTGTTTGTTGTGATCCCACACGAAGCCATCACGGGTGACGGTCGGCGTCAGTGTTGCACCTGCTGCATGTGGTGTGTCGATTTCCGTTGGCCCAGAAAACACAGTCCTGATCGGCATATGATCTGACAAAACCTCAGGGAAGACATGAAATCACTGGACGTAATGGAATATGTCTGTCGATATAACACAGTAATCAATTACACTGTTACCCTGTGCACCGACGAACGTGAATTCACCATCAGACCTTCCGTTGGTGACATGCAAGTCAAATTTTGAGCATAAATCAAGAAATTGTTGACTCCTAAATCCTTGGATGTCCTTTCAATATGAAAAGGGTCAACCCTGTAGCAGGTTTCCTCAAGCTTGTAATGTTCCTATTCCAGAGTTAAAATCACCTTTCAATATAAAATGACAGTCATTGTACTCATTCAGCAACTCATATAAATGCATTTCTAGATTTTCGATACCCCAGATTCATCTTTTTCCGTTGTTGGAATATACGAGTTTCTCTTGACTCTTGAACAAGTCCGAAATATCGAAGAAAATACAGTCTGTCCAATTGTCATGAATTCTGTGAATATAGGGCGAAATACCCTCTTTAACATACACAGCAATACCACAACTGTATCTCCCTCGGTGTGATGTTTTATCTCGGACACTGCAAACACTTATAGCCAGGTATTAAATTGGCAAAATCATCCTGATTCCTAGCCCAAGTTTCTAGAAATGCACATATATTTGACATATTGACCAACTCCTCAATGGCACTAAATGCATTTGCAACTTTAGAATATAATCCGTTTACATTCCAATAAGTGAAATTAAGAGAGCTATTGCTTATATTGGTTTCAAAATATTGATGAAAAGTTTCAACATTTGCAGAATTATTAATGTCATTGTATGGTTGATATTTACCTACGGGTATCTGTTGTTTTAGTCGTCGTGCTTCTAGTGGGTATTGAGAGGTAGTTATTTGTTGATTTCCGATTTTTGTTTGTTGTTTGAAATTTGTAGCCAGTTGATTGTTCCATGATGAATGTTCCTCGTCGAATGCTGGTTGCTCCATGTAGCAAGTCGAGCCTCGGCCTGCATGTTATCTAGGTGTACTCGTCTCCTGGTCCCCTGGTTCGGTGTCTCTGCTCGTCTCGTCCCCTTTGTCCATCGTCCAAGGTGTAGATGTGTCTTGGGCAGAGTTTTCTTCTGTTCTTGTGGCTGTTTCTGTCGTGTATCGTGTGTGTGCTGTCATCCGACGTCGCCCTACTTGCACCAACTTTTCAGTCGTAGGAAAAGACTTGGCCGTCTAATACCAACTTGTCGTAAGTAACACTGTTTGCCTTCGTTCCTATATCCGACCGAGCCGTGATCTCAAGTCTCTCACTTGCTTTGTGAAATCATCACTCAGTTGGTTTCCTTCAGGCGTTCTCTGGCACGTGTCTTCACTCTTTCTTTATCTGTGTAGAAAGATTTCGGATTTCTTTTAGTACGTAGTCTGTGTACCCGTTCAATGTGTATGTATTGTGCGTCAGTTCCTGTCACTCTGGTCCCAGCTTTCATTTGAACCTTCGTCCAGCCCGTAGAAAATCAGATTGATGCACCGAGACTGTGTTTCGTTCTTCTCTAACCTGTCGCGCAATTGTTCGTTTTCAACTTGTAACCGCTCTGTCTCTTCCCATAGGCTGTCTTGTTCTTGTTTTAGGTCCTTCACAACTGATGACATTTTGTCACACTTTGCAATTACTTCTTCTTCCATAATTTCTGATTTAAGTCTACTTTTGACTGAATGTCCATTAAAATGCATTTTAATATCCGTAACTTCCTGTTGTGATAAACTGTCTGTGTCTATGTGCACATGCCCCCGACCCCGTGTTGACAAGCGAGTTTGTCGTGTTTCACGTGCACCCGACTTGGGGCCCGGGTTTGGTTCCGCATTGCCACTAACCAACAGCAACACGCTAGCCAGCAAAAAACAACAACTTGAAACTGGCGCTTTAATAAGTCCAACATAAAAGGAAATGCGTTTTACGAACGTTCTGGGTACCTTTGCAGGTTGGTTAAAACAACCAGTTTGGACTCTCCACGCTTCAATGCCGACTCCCATATCGAAACTTTGCAGAGCTCCGACAACACACGACCGCCTGCCGCCATTCCGATGCTGATGCATCAAGATGCATATCCAGGCGCGATTCACTTCAAATGATTTCATTTTAGCATTAAATCTGCAGGTCCACGTACAAACAATGCTATGAACATGTTACTGCTGTCTGCTGTCTATCTCTCTCCACAGGTTATTTCTATTTTGCAGGATCCCTTCAACTGTATACAAGACATTGCCACCTTTCTAAATATTACTGTCACTGATACCTTCTGTAAAGGTATAGCCGAGGCGTGCAGCTTTGATAAAATGAAGCAGTTTGACAAAGAGGAGAAACACCAGCCTTTGACACTGTGGAAGGAGGGTTCCGGAGGGTCCTTCTACAGAAAAGGTACATAGTTGAATGGACGGTGTTGTTATATTTGTCTGTCGACTATGGATACATTGGATGGGTTGGGTTCTTCATTGCCACACTAAACAGTATTTCAGTGATGTGGATGTGTTTGAGACATTTATCCACTGTGATGCATGTGAAACCCACGAACGGCATGGCCCAACAAGAATCATTATCAGGGAAAATAGTGCACTCTCACCCTGGCTCTTGCTGTGGCCAGGGACATGTCTTTTAAAGGTGACTTGTTATACCTCGAGTCTGTGATATGAAAAAAGGAATAAAATATATTTAATTCATACAATATTCCATCCACATTTGATTACAAGTGCACTTCTGGAAAGTCTGAAAGAAGTCAAACCAGAAAAAATAATGCTTTTATAGTTCCATCCTTTTGAAACTTGTGTTTGTGTTCCTAAAAACATTGGTGAAATTAGGTTAAAGATTTGTTTACCCATTGCATTTTGCTTCAGGTGAAGTTGGGGACTGGAAGAATTGGTTCACGGTTGCAGAGAACGAGAAATTTGATCATATTTGGAATGACAAAATGGAGGACACTGGTATTAAATTCATGTATACATTATGATGCGAAGGTTCATTGACTGGTTTGTCAAATCGGCGTTCAAACACTGTAGCAGCTGTTCCAAAAGCTATTCAGGGGAGGACATGGTTGGTGACGAGAATATATATAACCTGAAGACACATTTCTATTTTATTAGTTTTTGCAGATAGGTTTTTGTGTGGTCCAACATGTAACGTGTCTTGTCTGTGTTTAATGGATGCTTGTTCTTCCACAGGATGGCACCTTTCAGATTAATGTAAGTGGGGTCGGGTGGTCCTTATCTCTGTATAAATGAAAGTCGGTAACACTCAATTCAGATTCTGTTGTGTTCTCTTTACATAATTGATCAATTTTCCATACATTATTACACAAAAATATACTTTTGGTTGAATCTTCATTATCTATCACTGATAAGCCTACAGCTGCGCTGAAAAATGTGTGTCTCATATTTGTAGTACGAATGAACAATATTACCATATCATGTGCACATGAAGTAGACGTGTAGAACACATATGTCACACAAAACTTGCACATATCGTATCAGCCAGTCGAAAACGTGTTCACTGCAGGACATTAATTGAATTAGTCTATCGTCCGTATATCTCGTAGTCTTTACAGAGCATGGAGTATGTAGGACTCAGCTGACGTGAGTGAATGAATATAGTTTAACGCCGCTATTAGTAATATTACGGACGGGAGGAAATTAACTTTACATATGTACCCATGTGCGGAATCGAACCCACATTATTGCAGTGACGAGCGAACGCTTCAGCAACAACTCTCCAAGGCTGTCCAATTTGTTTCTGAAGAGGCTGTTGCCTCACATTGCTTTGCCGTCCGTGATGTAGCAGGACTTATTGTTAAACATGCTATAAAGATGTATGGTGAAATCATATTGAAGATCAACGTGACACAGCTTAAAGGGTTGTCTCCAAAAGTTTTGTTATGATTTAACGTCTTATCGACAATTCATGTACTGACAATAGTGAGTGAGTTAATATTTAGCGTCACATCGGCAATATTTCAGCCATATCGTGACGAGAACAGTTTAATTTATATCAATATTAAAATCAATACGTTTACAAAGTGAAAATTTGTCATCGAAGTACAATAAAGCTACTAGAGTATCACAGCTCTTAATGAAAAAGTAGTACGCTATCATAAAAATATAACACTATAGACAACAGTACAATATATAGGTAAGAAGAAACCTATACAATATACTGACAGTGCGAACTGAAGTAGCAAGGTAAGTGTAACAGATATGATACAGGGATAACTGTAATGTGTAGTCATTCTCAATGTAAATTATTACCCAAAACGGTTTATTCAAGGTTCATGCTTGCTTGTCCATTAAAACGACCACTGAGATGTTGTTGATTAACAATACAAATCTCTTGCGCACATCCATTTAGTCCATATTACTGCATGGTCCCATTCAGTTGTCAATAAATGTCAATAACGATAATAACCTTTGCGTTTGTTTATATATGACAATTGTGTTACCTGAACTTAAATGACAAGGCGATATTCACTATGCACAGGGCTCGGCATGACCAGCCGATTGATAGATAGTACCGGGCACATTCTACCACCCGTCTAGGTAAAATCAGGGCCGAAGTGGTGTGTTGGGCACAGAAACGCCGTCCCTGGAAGCGGTGCCCTCGACCATTACAATCCTATCCTCCACCGACAAAGGGTCGCAACCCACGCAAACAGGTTGCCCAGTTTGGTGGCCTCTTACGACCAGTAATGGGGTGCTCGACGAGAGAGTGAGAGATCGAGAGAGAGGAGGTCACGTGTACTGGACATTACGACATTGGTTTGTAAAAAACATTGCATTCATATATCTCGAGGATATCCATGCACACTGTTAGCTTTGTTATAAGGATGTGTTTTTGTTAATTAAAATGGCACATTAATTAACTTTTAATTCTTAAGGATCACTGTGGGTTTGAACTCTCATCTTGAACTTAGGCTGTGTAATTTTACCTGTAAGTCAGAGTTACCTTCCCTTTGGTTTGCTTCCAGTGGGATTGTGGAAGCTGTGAGTAATTACTAGATGGTCGTAGTGTGGCATGTTTTTGTTTTTGTTTTTGGTGTTAGAATTCCCTGAAACAGTATAATATGGTGTATAAGGGCTCGTTGCTGAGATGAATGGGGGACTACTACTTTGGTTTTACGCTCATATATCTGTTAACATCAACGACCTTTCAAGAGGCCTCGTCTACACTGGACTTTCAACAGCTGTCAACTATCTTCAATCTGTACATCTCTTTACCGGAAATATCAAGACTTTGGTGAGTTGATATTTTAATTTGTGACACACTTGTATTGCATTAGAAGTCTCAACTGTCATTCATTGTCAACGTGACTGTTTGCTAGTATATAACTGCATATTATAGGGATCAGGGTGTCCCACAAGGCAGTATTTTGTCTGTCACATTGTTTAGTATTAAGATCAACAGTTTATCCAAGGTTTTAAATGATTCAATTGATGGATCACTTTTTGTGGATGATTTTAACATTTCTTGTCGCGGTAAGAATATGCATACTATTGAACGGCAACTACAGTTGTGTTTAAACAAAATAAATAAATGGTGTCTTGAAAACGGCTTTAAATTTTCTAAATCAAAAACAAATTGCATACATTTCTGCCGTAAATATAAACCACATAAAGACCCAGAACTGTTTTTAAATGGAACTCCCATCAAGGTTGTAAAAGAGGCCAAGTTCTTGGGTCTGATTTTCGACTCCCATTTAACCTTTCTTCCGCATATCAAATCCCTCAAAACTAAATGCCTGAAGGCACTTGATTTATTGAAAGTCGTGTCTAATTCAAGGTGGGAAGGGGATCAAGCTACGCTCCTACACCTTTACAGATCACTTGTCCGCTCGAAGCTTGATTATGGCTCCATCGTATATGGTGGAGCCTGTAAAAGCAACCTCAAACTCTTAGATTCAGTCCACCATCAAGGTCTGAGACTTTGTCTTGGGTCCTTCAGAACTTCTCCTGTTGACAGTCTTTACGTCGAGGCAGATGAACCTTCTCTTAACAAACGCCGTATAAAATTATCTTTATAATATATTACAAAATTATATTCTAACGAGTCTAATCCTGCATTTCACTGCATCTTTAATCCTCTTTATGAGGATTTGTACAACACGAAATCTTCTCTTGTTCCGCCTCTTGGGCTCAGGATTAAGCCATTCATTACTGCTGCCGGCATTGAGCTGGAAAATATAGCTCCTTCCCGACTTCTTTCTTCTCCTCCTTGGCAATTGGTTAGACCACAAGTTGACCTAACATTAACATCGTTTAAAAAATCAGAAACTAACGACTTACAATATAAACAAGAATATAATCAATTAAAAAGTAAATACAATACATATAAATCCTTATTTACAGATGGGTCCAAGGATGGTGGCGCGGTTGCTTGTGCCACTGTCTTTGGGTCCAAAACAATATCTTCCAGATTACCCAATGACAGTTCAATTTTCACAGCAGAAGCAAACGCAATACTAACAGCTCTTAAATATATTAATAAACACCGTAAATATAAACAATATATCATCTTTTCAGATTCTCTTTCGTGTCTTCAGGCTATTAAAAATCTTTCTTGCAAACATCCACTTTTATTAGAAATTATTGAATTGTACAATGAACTTGCTACTGGCCAATGCGACATCGTCTTTTGTTGGTTACCCAGCCACGTTGGCATTTCTGGGAACACAATGGCTGATATTGCTGCTAAGGCAGCACTCAACAAATCTGTGACACCACTTCTGATCCCATACTCTGATTACAAAGCTGCTATAAGATCTTATATCCGTGATCTGATGCAAAAGAAGTGGGACACCCAAGTAGGTATCAATAAATTACATGAAATAAAACCCTATATCGGTTACACTTACTTGGGTTGTCAGTCCAGATTTGAAGAGGTCATCATACGCCGATGTCGTATTGGCCACACAAGATATACGCATGAGTACCTATTAAAAGGTGAGGATCCTCCGTTTTGTATCCCTTGTGATGAACGAATCACGGTCAAGCATGTCTTGCTTGACTGTGTTGAGTATTCCATCACAAGGGATCTCTATTTCAAATCCCGATCTATGAAGGATCGTTTTACTAATATAAGTCCTCATTTAATTATTGCTTTTTTAAAAGAATTAAATTTGTTAACAGATTTGTAAATAGCTAAATATTTTAGGATTGGAAGTTTGAATTAGTAACACAGATTGTTAGTGGCTGTATCCTCGAGGGGGGTTAAAGTACTGTAAAATTATTGTCCTCCTGAGAGGGTACGTAAGTCCCAAAACATTCAAAGTAAATTTCAACTTTCCGCTTTTTAATCGTAGAATATGTGTAATTTTAATGTATGGCTAGATATATCTCAATTGCTAACAGCTGAGGGGATGATGTAAATCCAGCTAGGGCCCATGCAGGAAGCAAATGTACTGTAAGTCCCCATGGTCCCTAGTGTGGTGATCTACCTTCAGTTGTTAGCGATCTATAGCCTATTTTTATATTGTGTTGTCCCCTATGGTTAAACTGTTTTAGACTCTATTACTAGTTTTACATGTATATCTGTGATATTCTAGTTGTTTTACTGCCCTTCGTCGGCAGATTTTTATAATTTACATATATTTCATTCCAATATCAAATGTTCTCGTCACGATATGGCTGAAATATTGCCGATGTGACGTTAAATATTAACTCACTCACTCACTCACTGCATATTATAGACTTGTCTGTGTTCTATTTTAGTTTAAAGATGACTCAGTATGTCAGTAATTTCTAACAGCTTACATGTAAGCCTTGTCCTGCTACCCTTTTTGCCTGTTTATACCTGTTACCTGGCCATAAGAGGCTCCGTTACACTCTAAGATTTTTACTTGCCAGGCATCCTGCGCACAAGGCCCTATGTATAGCAATTGCTAGTTCACAGAGAGACGAAACAACGCGAAGACTCCTGTCAACATTTAGAGCTGAAGGGTCAGTGTGTATTAATCACAGTTACGTTTTATTGATATTTCCTTACTTGCAGCACCACACAGTGTTGAGACGAAGTAATTTTATCCTCGGGGTGTCTATCTGTCGGATTCTATTGACAAATGAACATTTGCAGAATTTTTCTGGTGTTGACACGTTGACAGTAGATTGTTATTTGGAGTACATATTACTTGAATATGGTCTGACAAGCTGGTATTGCATTTGTGTTAATAGCTTCCTGATCACAGAACTTGCTTGAAACTATATGACCTTTTTGTCGTCACAATACGGCTGAA